CTTAAAACTCTCACTCATCTTTATGTTTTACTGATCATACAACCTTCAACTTTGTGTTCATTTAACTGTTTCATTTCTTTTTAGCCCTATCCTTTGTTTTCTAGTAAATCATAAGTTAATAGTGGTTTCTTGCAACCTTATCACACCCCGGTGGAAGTAGGTTCAAACCAAAAAAAATGTCCCAGTGTCAAAATAACACCATTGAAAAAAAATTTCAAGGTTCAAGAAAAAAAAGACATTTTTGTAAACCAAAAAAGCCATTATTTTTCCTTGTATATCCATTAAGTATTTTATTCAATCGTGAATTGTTTGATGACAATTGCACATTTTAAAAGCTTTCAAATATTCATAATAGACAGGCAAACATTTTAATATAGCTCAAATGTTATTAAGAACAAATATATGATGTTTTGTATTCTTGTTTATAGGAAAGATAATTAATATTGGTTTTTCTTTAACGTTTATTTTTATGTATGTATTAAACTATTATTAGTTTAATACATTAAGTTTTCAATGAAGTTATAATCAATGAAGTTAACAAAACTAATTATATTATTTAATTATAATTATGTAACAAACATGTAAGAAGTTTCTGGGTACTAAACACAAACAACGCATACAAAGTAACTTGCGGATGAACAAGTACCGCGTCTGAGGTCACGACAGAATACAAATATATATAGCAAATATTAGGTATAAAGAAAAGTGTCTAAATATTGGTTTACTAATTCTAATTATTTTCGCTTAAGTTGCCATTCTTACAACTCGTTATACTTTTTTCTGCTTTAAATACTAATTAAATTTAAAAAGCCCACTCATTAAACATCAGCGAAGCAGTTTTGCTTCCTCGTCATAAAGTATTTTAAACCTTTTTAGTTAATTCTAGTTGATTTAATTTCTATAGTAATTCAATGATTTTATAATTAATTATTTCAAATAATTAATTATTTCATTTGTTTATCTTACTAAAAAGAATTGCTTCTACTATGTTAAACTTTTCAAACTACGCGAAATATAAAATAGGTATTAAAAAAATAAACTTTTTTATTTATAAAATAATTTAGCTTAAATAAAACTGAAACTTGCAAACTTTTTTAAATAAAGAACATTTGTTTCCTTTTTAAACAATTGTTAGATGTTACTTAATATAAAAAACGTCGCTTAGTTTTATAAAAAAAATTATAAAAGAGCGATATTTCGAAAATATTTGTTTTAAACGCGATTTATTTTGCTTTATGTTTTTTCGCGTTAAAAGATATTTTATTTTCCTAAGTTTTTTTTTTTCTTTGTTATTGTCCCTCATCGGTCCAATTAATATTTAGCGCATTTATTTTTTTGCTTTTTGAAGTGTTCTCAAAACAATTAAAAAATCTGTCCAGCTTTTCGTAACTAAATGTTATTTTCGTGGTCAGCAATCGAGAGCGATCACTCCCACTTCCCAAAAAAGCCTGCTTTCTATGCACCAGTGTGTTTCAAAAGTATTGGAAACTTGGGATAATAGAGCGTAAAATTTATTCTGAGTGAGCTCCAAAATAATTTAAGTAAAGAATATTTACTATTTTTGAAGTACATTCTTAATTTAGTTCTTTCAATGCATTGTTTCAATCAAAATTAATACTGTTACATAAAATATCTTCTGCATCTGTGCAGTTAATGAAAGAATTGAATAGTAATTTTATCAAGGTTGTCTTAATCAAACACACATCAAATATTAATGTGAAAAATCCTAACAACTTTTTGTCTGTTAAAAACATATTTTTAGGTCATGATTTTGAAAATTTTATTAAAGACCTTCCCCAAAGTACTATTGAAAAAATAAAATCAACATGTCTATCTTTTTATTGTACAGCAGCTTCAGAATTTAAATCCAGGTTATCGATTGATAATCCATTATACATAGAATTGCAGTTCATAGATCATACAAAAAAAATTGGATTCAAACAATGATTGGAATGATTTTGAATTCAAAATTTTATCAGACAAGTATAAAGGCCTACTTCAATCCGACAATTTAGAAATTGAGTGGCTTAAACTTAGATTTTTTTTTTTACTAAATCTGAAAAAACTAAATTACTTTCTTATAAGATTGTTGAATTCTGGCATTGTGTGTCTAACCTTAAAGATTTTAAAGATGAAATGATGTTTCCAAATCTATCAAAACTTGCTCAAATTTGTCTAACATTACCGCATTCAAATGCAGAGGCAAAGTGCATATTTTCTATAGTAACAGATGTGAAAACCAAAAAAAGGAATCGCCTTGGGAATGACACTTTAAATTCTATATGTGTTGTACGGTCATCTTTTTCTTCAAAAAATATTGATTTCCAAGTAGTACAAATTTCCAAGTAACAGAGAAATATTTATCATTGCATAATTCTCAAAATTTATATGAAAATTGATTATTTATAGAGATTTTTAAAATTTGTTTATTTATACTTAAGAATCAATTTAAATTATTATGTAATTTGTTATTTTAACATTCATCCAAATTAACAATTATTAACAATTGCTAGTATTGTTATTATTTTTTTAAGTTTTTATTAAAAGGATTTTTAAACTATAAGTTCCTATAAATAAAAAACATAAAAGTCTTAAAGACATTAAATTAGGTTATAGTGCAGACAAATTATAGAAAAATATTTATTTGCGAGACCTGAGCGAAGTGATGGGTCACGTTTAAAAGAAAAAATTATAAAGAAGGATAATTTAATTTAAAAAGGGAAATTTTGATTTGGTGGTAAGGAATTTTGAATATAATCACCTTCCATCACTTATATATATATATATATATATATATATATATATATATATATATATATATATATATATATATATATATATATATATATATATATATATATATATATATATATATATATATATATATATATATATATATATATATATATATATATATATATATATATATATATATATATATATATATATATATATATATATATATATATATATATATATATATATATATACATATATACATATATCAAGCCTTCCCAGGAAAGACGTGCGGTTTTTTGTCTCGTATGACCACACACGATTATAATATTTAAGAAAACGTGAACACGACTGTTTTCAAGTTTTATAATAATGCTGAAAAAGTTTCAAAAACAAAAAAACAAAACTAACAAAATAAAAAGAGATTGAAATAGAAAAAAATAAAAACAAATTAATAATTTAAATAATTTGTGTTTTTATTTTTATTTCTTTAGAGTTACATTCAGCAACAAAATTAAATAAAGCGAAGCAAAAAAAAACAGTTTGAAGTCTACAATAAAAAGAATGATTTTCCTTTTCTTAATTTTTTTTTTAAGAGGATAGCAATGATACAAATTGCAATAAGTTTGTAAAATTTATTTGTATAATTTTAATGTAACAACAAGGCTTGAATTAAGCAAATGCAAAACGCAAAATCTGGAAAAATATCTAGTATTCAAAATTTTAGTTTATACAAAACCGTGTTCCTTGTTTTTAAGGGGAGAATCAACTTAAGTTTGTTAGCGAAAAAAGAAAAAAGAAAACAATAAACTTACAATTACAAAAGTAACAACACTCTAGTCACTAACTGCATTACAAAAGAAATAACACTATAGTAGTGTTATTACTTTTATAACGCACTTATAACTTTTAAAATTCATTCTTTGTTCAAGCAACATTAGTATTCCCAAATTTTAATTGAAGTAGAAAAATATCTAGAAGAATAAAGTGGATGTTCAAATAATATTAAAACTAAAGTAACTTATAAAAACGTGACAAACAACTTTATGAAAACGTATCGTATTAAAAGTTTAGCATTATGAAAAACGTTACTAATGGACCGTAAAAATGCGCATTGATTTTAAAATTAACCAATAAAAATTTTTTATTAGTTGATTTTAAAATTAACACATGTTTTTACGTAAGGTTTTTCATAATGCTATACTTTTTATAAAGTAACGTTGTTTAAGCGATATGTGAAAGTTCCTGAAATATTTAATAATATTTGAATATCCGCTTTAATTTTTCTAGATGCTTTTCTACTTTAATAAATGTTTGGAATTAATAATGTTGTTTGAACAAAGAAAAAACTTTAAAAGTAATAAGTGCTTTACAAATGTAATATTATATATATATATATATATATATATATATATATATATATATATATATATATATATATATATATATATATATATATAATATTACATTATAGTTTTATTACTTTTATAATGCAGTTAGTGACTAAAGTGTTATTACTTTTGTAGTCATAAGTTTATTGTTTTTGTTTTGTTTTTTATAACTTTCTTGCTAGCAAACTTTTACTAATTTGCTCCTTGTAAACAAAGTACACAGCTTTGCATGAACTAAAATGTTAAAGACCTAATATTTTACCGGAGTTTGCAAGCGCGATCGTAAAATTTAACTCTTAATATAAACTTGTTACATTGTAATTATACAAATATATTTTACAAACAGATGACGATACATATTTTCTCTTTTCTCTTTAAACAAAAAAACACATAAAATATGGGAAAGACATCCTTTTTAACTTCTAAAACCGTTTTTTTTTTTTTTTTTGCTTTGACTTAATAAAATTTGTTGCCGATAATAATAACCACTAAGAAAAAATAAAAACAACACACAAATTGTTTAAACTATTATTATTGTTTTCTATTTAAGTTTACTTTAATTTCTTATGTAGTTATTAAATTTAAAACAATTTTTCTGTAACGCATATAATATAACTTGCGCAAATAGCCGTGATCACGTTTTCTAACTTGAAAAACGTTTTCGTGGTCGTACGAGAAAAAAAACCGCACGCCTTTCCTAGGAAGGCTTGATATATATATACATATATATATATATATATATATATATATATATATATATATATATATATATATATATATATATATATATATATATATATATATATATATATATATATATATATATATATATATATATGTATATATCATTGTTTGTTTGTTTTTTTTTGACAGATTGAGTTGACAGATTTTTCCAGCAGCGAAGCATTTTCCGATATGTTAACTGAACTATATGAGGCATTTACAGAGTTAAAACAGCATGAAGAAATTGAGAACAAGTACATTATGCATATTTTGAAAAGAAAACTTGAAGGAGAAGCTTTAAAAAAGCTTCTCATTCATTTACATGCTCATAGCCACATTGCTGATATTTTGAATCAAATAAATAAGACAAACAAAAAATTACGAAGTGGAAGATATATGGATATGCAACAAAAAGGTACTAAGTTGAATGCTAAGCTGCATTCTTTCTACAATGACTATGTTCCACATATGATTGAAGAAGAGCAGGTCTCAATTTTTATTTTTTAATAGTTCATAACATTAAAAAAGTGTTTTTGAAAAATTAATTTTTCCTCATTGCTTTATATTTTTAAAAGTTTTTTTTATTAATTTTTAAAAACTTAGGAACCCTTTAAAAATTTACTATTTTACCATAGTAGCATAGTAAGTCTTACTTACCTATTTTTAAAATAATTTTTATTACCTATTTACTAGTTTTTGTTCATTTTATTTTTTGTGTTCTTTGTTCTTGTTTCTTTAAATATATTTATTAACCATCATGCTTACTAAAATATTATCTTAACTTGATCACCTTCTGAGCCATTTAGGCTGCATCATTTATGGTTTTTAGACAAAACTATTCCTTCTTCAAGCTTATTTAAATATAAATTAGTATCTAGAACTGCTGCCTATAAATCCCATTGAAATATAAAAGTTGAATTTTTTTGCCAACTTGTTTATCAGGTATTGTTAGTTTTCTACAAACAGTTATAATAATATTTTTATTAAAAATTTTATAAAAAATAGTTTTGCTTGTCAAGGTGCCACTTTAATATACTGTTTGTTCATGTTACTATGATAACTATTTCTAATCATCTAAATCACAGCACAAAGTCAAATATTTTTTCAAAACTCAAAACAGTCTCTTTGTCAAATACTTTTTCAAAATTTAAAACAGTCTCTTTGTCAAATGTTTCTTCAAAATTTAAAACAGTCTGTTTGATTTTGTTCAAAAAAAAAACAACAGTCTGTGTGTTTTCTTGAGCTTTTTTAATCAAAAGATTGTTGTGGATTTAAAGCATTTAAAAGTTGAATAATCATCGGTTGTTATGGTGATGATCATCGATTGTTCGATGATCATCATTAATCATAAAAGTTGAATTTTTATCAAAGTTATGACAGCAGCTGTAAACTATGCATGGCTCTAATATATAATGAGGAAATAGGAGGAAATAATAATAATGAGGAAATAAATAAAGAAGCATTCAACATAATGAGCTGATTTTTCCACAAGACATCGAATTTTTGTTTATATTCCTATATTTAAAAGAAAAATATCCTGTTTTTATAAAAAAAATAGTTTACTGTATTTTTTTCATTTGGACTAATTCCTCCTTAATTCTGAAAATTACATTAGTCCTTATATTTTTATTCAAAAACACTTGGCACCAAAATTTTATAGAATTTTACGAACTGTATCAATAACACAATTTAATAATAAACAATATCATTAAACTTATTAAAATTAGACGTTATTAAAGTTAGATGTGCATGACTAACTTGTGCGGTTTTGCTTTCTTTGTTTATTATCTTAAGTATCCTCCAACCTATTGGAGGATACTTAAAGTACATAATGAAAGTAGCATCATGAGTTATATGTGCAGATTGTGACATGAGTTATATGTGCAGATTATGACATGAGTTATATGTGCAGATTATGACATGAGTTATATGTGCAGATTGTGACATAAGTTATATGTGTAGATTGTGACATGAGTTATATGTGCAGATTGTGACATGAGTTATATTTGCAGATTGTGACATAGTTATACCTGCAGATTGTGACATAAGTCTGGTTTTTTTAAATGTGTTATTAGTAATGTATGCAAATAGATATTCAGATTTCTGATTGAATATCTATATATCCCCTCTTGTAGTTGTGCTGTTCATATCAATAAGTAAATATTGAAACAACTTATTTATTCTGATTTATGTGCTCTTTGTGGTACACTATAAAAAATAATATATATATATATATATATATATATATATATATATATATATATATATATATATATATATATATATATATATATATATATATATATATATATATATCATATAATTATATGCACTAAGTCCATTTTTGGCAGTATGGAGTTATTTATACCACTATTTAGTATTTAAAATTCTCTATCATTTGATATACCACAAATTTAATAAATCAATTATTAATGAGTTATTAAGATTTTTTATTTCAACTATTAAACACACTTACACAAACTTATTATTTTAACTATTACACTTATTATTAAATTAAACTTATTATTTCAGCTATTACACAAACACACTTACACAAATACACTTACACAAACACACTTAAACAAACTTACTTACGCAAACTTACTTACACAAACTTACTTACTCAAGCACACTTACACAAACACACTTATACAAACACACTTATACAAACACACTTATACAAACACACTTACACAAACACACTTACACAAACTTACTTACACAAACTTACTTACACAAACTTACTTACACAAACTTACTTACACAAGCACACTTACACAAACACACTTATACAAACACACTTATACAAACACACTTACACAAACACACTTACACAAACTATTACACTTATTATTATATTAAATTTATTATTTCAACTATTATACACATTTACACATACTTATTGTTTTAACTATTATGCAAAAACTTATTTGTTTATTATCTCAAAATGATGGTTTTGGACTTGCATTTCCTTTGTATACGATATGTATATATATATATATATATATATATATATACATATATATATATATATATATATATATATATATATATATATATGTATATATATATATATATATATATATATATATATATATATATATATATATATATATATATATATATATATACAGTGGTTTTCATAAATTTAGACGCACTCATATTTGAGAATAGAAATTTTTAGTTTTTTTAACGACAAAACAATGACGAAAAAAGATTTCGGTTAAGTTTTTTTTCTATTTATTAGACAAATACATACAGAATACAAAATTTTAATAAAGTTTGCAAAAAAAATGAAATACTAAGTAATAATTAGGTACAACTACATGGTATCAAAAAAATTAGACAAAAAAAATTATTCATAAATATAGACGCACGATACATTAGAAGGCGTAATTTATGAACCAATCAATATTTTGAGTATCCGCTTTTTGCTTTAATACAACTAAGAACTCTTTCTAGGCATAGACTCAACAAGATTTTTGCGCATCGCTTCTAGGACCCCATACCAGGTCTCCTTAAGGAATTCCTTAAGCTGACCAAGTGTGGAAATTTGAACCTTTGCTAATTCACGGTCAATCCAAGCCCAAATGTTTTCAATCGAGTTCAAATCAGGTGAGTATGGAGGCTACGGTATTGTCATGATATTATTATTTTTGAACCACTCCTTTGTATAGTATACAGTATGTGCAGTAGCGCCATCTTGTTGAAGTTTCCATGGTTTATCATTGAGCATAAGCAGGTCAATTGATGGAATTAGGTTGTTTTCCAGTACTTCTACGTATATTCTGGAGTTGATTCTTTCGGTGTATGTTTGGCACATACCAACACCTTTGTAATTGAAGCATGACCAGATTCCTATCGAGCCTCCTCCACTTTGTACAGTCGGTCTAATGTACCTGGCGTAATACTTTTCGTGAGCCATTCTTTTGACTGTTATGTTAGATTTACGATTGATAAGCTCAAAGTTACTCTCATCACTTCACATAATGTTTTCCCATTGTTCTATTGTCCAATACCTTCTTTCACGACACCATTTTAGTCTCCTTTGTTTATCATATGGATGCAGAAGCGGTTTCTTCAAAGCAGTGTAGACTCCAATCTTGTATTTGATAAGTATTCAGCGGACTATGCTTTGAGAAATAGATGTATTTCGCGTTGTATTGAATTCTGTGGTCAATTCTTTGTAACTAATTCTTGGATTAGCTCTGACAGCTCTAAAACAAACACTGTCGTCCTTTCTGGTGGTTGACAAGGGTCTACCTGGCATCGTTTTCTCGCTGGCACCACCAGTGTGAAGAAAGTTTTGTTTCGTTGTCCGAACGTATTTCTTAGAAAATCCAATTAACTTGGCAATTTCTCTATTACTTTTGGTTCCTTCTTTGATGTGCGCAATAGTTTGCCATCTTTCACCTTGAGTGATACGTCTTTTGCCCATTTTTTGCGTCTTTTTAGTGCAAAACTAACTTAACTTTTGTTTATTTATTAAATAATGATTAACTAATTCCAGGTAAGTCATATTTATATAAGGTTTTTTGACAAAATCAATTAATTTAGGCCTATTAATGAGAAATATGGGGAAAAACTACTAATTAACTATCAATTAACAAGATATAAGAGTTTTTTGATTGTGCGTCTAAATTTATGAACAAAATAAAATCAAGCTTATCAATTAACTTTTTTGTGTTAATCGGTATAGAATGAGTAATAAACATCCTGTAAAAAAAATGAAGGTACTCTATAATAGAGTTTTACTTCCTCTTTTAAATTATATATCAAACATAGCGGTAGCACTTTTATTTTATTTTTATTTTGAGTATTTTCTTACATATATGGAAAAAAAAATGAATGCGTCTAAATTTATGAAAGCTACTGTATATATATATATATATATATATATATATATATATATATATATATATATATATATATATATATATATATATATATATATATATATATAATGTATATATATATGTATATATATATGTATATATATATATATATGTATATATATATATATGTATATATATATATATATATATATATATATATATATATATATATATATATATATATATATATATATATATATATATATATATATATATATATATATATATATATATATATATATATATATATATATATATATATATATATATATACAGGGAGATATATAAATTTATGCACTCCTGCTTATAATGTATCCATAAGTGTGAAGTAGTAATCACCTTCTTTTAGTTTATACTCAAGTTGATTTCTCTGTTAATCAGATTTTTTTATCAATTTCTGTTCCTCCTTATATGTCTTAATCTATATTTCATGATCTTTTTCTAATCTTTCATATATTAGTTGTTATTAAGTTAAAAGTTAAAAGTTATTAATTGTATTTATTTAGCATTATGTATATTATATACTCACGAGATATTTACTTTATTGATTTTTGATGTTTTATATTTAGTTAGAAACTACTTTTTTCCTTTTCCACAAATTTTTATTAAATAAAAAGCCAGACTTTCAAAAATGGTTTGAAATGATTTTATACCTCGTTACTACAGAAGTAGCCAGAATATTATTTCATTTCTAGAAAGTCTATTTATTGCTGAGAACTTAAATAAATATAAAAATTTAAATAAGTAAAAAACTGGCTACCTCTGTAGTAACATGATCTAATCAATCATTCTTTATGGACACTCAAAAACAATGATCCAAAGATTTTTTTCTTTTCTTGGTTTTTAATTTACAAAATTTATCATTTATTTGATAATTTGCAAATAAAATTTAGGAAATTTGGATATTATCTTATGTAACATAAAGATTTAGTGAAAACCTGAGGTTTTTTTGCGACGCATAGTGCTGTGATACTTCACGACGCATAGTGCTGTTATACTTCTCGACGCATAGTGCTGTGATACTTCGATAGTTTAGTACCCAGAATTCCATAGTTTGATATTGGCTCCATGTAAGCAATATTGGTGAGGAAGTTAAATGATTGAGACAGATGATTGGGCAGTTAAATAGCAAATGATTGGACAGTTAAATGGCAGATGATTGGGCAGTTAAATGGAAGATGATTGGGCAGAATTAGTAGATAGTTTATTAAAGAAAAAAAGAAGTTTGAAGTATCTAACAGAATTCATATAAAAGTTTAACAAAAATATGTCAAACCAGTAGAAATATGTTTAAACAGTGGTGATGAATTTCTATTTTGTCAACATTCTTCATAAAAACTTCATTTTCATGAAAAAAATGTTTAATTATACAAACCTCAATCCAGTGCAACCTCAATTCAATGCAACCTCAATTCAATGCAACTCTTTCATAAACTATTTCTTTTCCAATCAATTTTACCTTTAGATTTGACAAATACTAATCCCATAAAGTCTTCAATATATCTAATAGCATACAAGATGTACCTTCCTTCATACTTTCAGCCTTCCTTCATACCTTCAGCCTTTCTTCATACCTTCAGCCTTCCTTTATACCTTCAGCCTTCCTTCAGACCTTCAGCCTTCCTCTATACCTTCAGTCTCCCTTAATACCTTCAGCCGTCCTTCATACCTTCAGCCTTATATAACACTAATGAAATCATAATTAATTGTATAATATTTATTTTTTAGGTTAATCAAAATATTAAAAATATCAGCTAGTTTTTTTATAAAAGTACTGTATAAATGTATATATTGGCAAGCCAAGTGGACTAATCCATTTAGAGTAAATTATTGAGGAGACAATTTTTTATAATTAACTTTGTTATTAATTTTTTATAATTAACTATTTTTTTTATAATTATATTTTTTTTTAATTAATTTTTTAAATTAATTTTTGATAATTAACTATTTACTCATAACACTTTTACATTGAGATGTAGAGGCAGCCATTGTATAATAGTTTTAAAAGAACAATAATGTTGTGTTTAATAGGTGTTGCAACCAATGTTACTGAAGTATGTTTCCCCAGGGGAGTTAAAAAATATAAAAAATGTTGTTCTTCAGTTGCATAAAAGTCAAAAACTTGAGGAGGTTAATTCTTTGAATCTAAATTTATATTACAATTTATAAGGTATTTATATGTTAATTAATTGGTTTAAACAGTTTAAATATTATTTCAAAAAAGAATATTGCATAACTTTGGAAAAGTTTTTAATTGTTTTTTATTTTAAAATTTTAGAAAATTCTTGATTTAGAAATTGAAAAAGAAGGTAAAAATTTTTTTAATTAGTATTCTTTAGGTAGTGTCAGTTTTCTTCAGATAAATCTTTAGGTAGTGTCAGTTTACTTCAGATAAACCTTTAGGTAGTGTCAGTTAACTTCAGATAAATCTATAGGTAGTGTCAGTTTACTTTAGATAAACCTTTAGGTAATGTCAGTTAACTTCAGGTAAACCTTTAGGTAGTGTCAGTTAACTTTAGATAAACCTTTAGGTAGCGTCAGTTAACTTCAGATAAACCTCTAGGTAGCGTCAGTTTACTTCAGATAAACCTTTAGGTAGCGTCAGTTTACTTCAGATAAACCTCTATGTAGTGTCAGTTAACTTCAGATAAATCTTTAGGTAGTGTCAGTTTACTTCAGATAAACCTTTAGGTAATGTCAGTTTACTTCAGATAAACCTTTAGGTAGTGTCAGTTTACTTCAGATAAACCTTTAGGTAGTGTCAATTTACTTCAGATAAATCTTTAGGTAGTGTCAGTTAACTTCAGATAAACCTTTAGGTAGCGTCAATTTACTTCAGGTTAAATCTTTAGGTAATGTCAGATTTTTTGAAATAAATCTATAAACACAGAATGTTTTCAGTCATAATCAAGTAAAAATAAGTGAAAAGTATGTCTAAGTATAAACACTAGGTATAGACACTTTTAGCTTATAGCATACCTATGTTTTTTTACCCAAGTATTGCAATATAAAGACTGTTTTGCAGCCTACATATTAGAATTTAACTATTTTGTATAATTATGGAAATAAAAAGTTTATTTTTATTTTTTTAAATTTAAATTTTTTGCAGTACTTAAAAGGTTGAATGATCAATTAAAAAATTTTTACTTTAATTGTTGTTTGTAGATTCTAAAGTTTTTGATCTGCCAATCGAACTTTTAATTAAAGTGTTTTCGTATCTTGGTCCCAAAGATTTATGCCACTGCTCACAGGTAGCTAAATTATGGAAATCTGTTGCAGTGGATGGTAGATTATGGGAAGTCCTTCACCCTATTCGATGGGCTAAAGGTGATTGGAGGTTTAGCTCAGTATCAAGTTCAGATGAAAACAACTGTGATTGCAGTCCTAACTATAAATTGCAAACATTTAATGAGTAATTATTTTTTGTGTCAAAAAAAATAACTTTAAGAAAATTAAAAACATTTATATTTGCTTTTTAAATTTTTTTTTGTTCGACTTGACTAAAAATTGTTAAATAACTGTTAATGTTAATACATGTTTTAAAATTCTTCTTACACAAATGTTTAATAACCAACCAACTTAATACACCCACCCACCCCCACTTAACCCTTACATAATATGAAATGTAACTATGACTTTTAATTTTATTGAATAGTTAAAAAAAAAAAAATAATATTTTGAATGTTTCTAGATATGAATCATTCAAATATTCAAATGATTATGAATCTTACAGTGTTGAAAATGATGATGAAAATGATGAACAATTTAAAAAAGAAGTGAAAATATTAAATGGCATATCTTGTTATTTACTTCCTCATGTTGGAAGTTCTGTGAAATGTTTAGTATTGGAATGCAGCAAAGCTATTACAAATGGATTGGTTAGTTTTATTTAAATTTATTTAATAACGGATTGGTTAGTTTTATTCAATTTATTTTTTTACTCTATTACTTAAACTCTTGTTTGAATTTTAAAAGGTTTTTAAAGTTTTTTTAAGTATGTTGTATAAAATAAATATTTGTTACTTTTTTTTTCTTTTTTTAGCTGTTCCGAATTTTAACACAGTGTAAAAATCTTCAATATTTTGATGTTTCACAAACCATTATATCTGACTTAGGTCTAATGGGGTATGTATCTTATGGGGAGGTAAATATGTAAAAAAAAAAAAAAATTATAATAATGCACATTAAGTATGTAATTTTTAACTTAAACAAAAACATGCTATAACATTTTAAAACCTGATATGGCTACCATCATAATTAATATTTCAGAAAAACATTTGCCCAAATTTTTGAAAGTTTTTTTGGTCATTTTTTATTTATAGCTTAACTTTTAAATAATAAATTTTTTGAAAATGTTAATTTATTATATATAATATAATGTATAATATATGTGTAATATGTAATATACATTGTATATTATATATTATTACAAAATATATAATATTGGTATTTTCTTGAGGTATTTTGGACTCTTAGTTATTTAGTGCTAATTATACTCACTATATTATATATTACCATTTTCTCATATTTATTATTGAAGTTTTACATTTAGCAAAAATCTGTATATATATTAAAAAAAAAAAAAAAAAATACACACAAAAAAAAAACTTAATTTTTCGTTTAGCAAAAATCTGTTACGTAATTAAATTTTTTTTTTTTTTTTTTTATCAGAAGAAAAATAAAAACTAGCTTAAAAACTATAGCAAGCGTCTAAGTTAGGTTGTTGACTAAAGTGTTTAGCAAAAGTCTAGGTTGGGTTACTGACAATTCCGTTAAGCCAGGGTCTAGGTTAGGTTGCTGACAACTGTGTTTAGCAATGGTCTAGGTTAGGTTGCTAGATAACTGTGTTTATGCAAAAGTCTAGGTTAGGTTGCTGTCAACAGTGTATAGTAAGGGTCTAAATTAAGTTGCTGACGACTGTTTAGCAGGGGTCTAGGTTAGGCGTTCTAAACCCAGATTTGTCCAAAATGTCCAAAAAGTTAGTTTTATATAATTATTATCTATTACTTATTTGAACAATTCTTATTATTAATATAGAAAAAAAAAAAATTTCAATAACTAAATTTGGAAATCTTTATTTAAAATGTTTTAAAATTTAAATTAAAAATTTTAATAAAATTTTCATGATTTTTAATTTTTTTTTTATTATCAAAATGTTAAGAGAAATTGGTAACAATTTTCAAAAAATTACCAAGCGCAACTAATACCTAGCAACAAGCACAACTACTGTATTGTCCACCAAATACTAGTCACATTAAGTAAAGGTTACTTAATGTTTCTTTTGAGGATTTTATTTAAAATCTAATAAAAGTTGTTTGATTAAACTTAGGTTGTTTAAATCAGGCTGTCAGGAACTACGACATTTTGATGTATCTGGGTGTAAAAATATTACAGACAAAACTTTAGTGAAGTTATCAGCTTCTATTGGCAAAACTAAAAGATGTTGTGGATCTTTGTGTCAAGAAAAAGTCGTCCCAGTCGAATGTTTTAATACTAGACTTTCTCCTAAAAAAAATCAATCAAGGCAATTGCAAACTTTAAGATTATCTGGCTGTTATAAAATTACTGATGTTGGGCTCAGGTATTTTTTACACAATTACTGATTGTTTAGTAAGTAATTATTTAGCAAACGCTTTTCAATATATATGTTGGTAAAGTTAATTAATATATATATATATATATATATATATATATATATATATATATATATATATATATATATATATATATATATATATATATATATATATATATCTTATTTAGAGCTCTTGCAAAGTATGGTGGTCTGCCTACCTTACGCCATTTAGATTTATCAGGTTGCATAAATTTGACTACGGAAGGCATTACCTTACTTGTTCAAACTTGTTTAGAACTTGAAGAGTTTTTTTATTGTGATAATTTGTCTGATGTTGATTGCCAAATTCAATCCCAAGGTTGTCAAAATAATGGTTGCGCCAATAGAGTCTGCTGTCGAACAATATCTGCTCGATCTTCATTTGATTTCTTAGGTTAAGTTATTTTGATCTATCGTATAGTTTTTGCTATATTTTTCCTTGTAATCAATTATCTTTATAATCATCACCGTGTACAAATATTAAAATACCATTTATAGACAAAAATTAAATGTTTGCGTGTATTTAAAGTTAGTCGGTAAACCCACAAAAAAAATTTGTTTTTTAATATAATTTGTTTTTTATTGTGTTTTATTTCTTGTATCTTGTATACTTATGTATATTTGTATAATTATTTGCGATTAATTTGATTTTACCATTTTTACTTTGGCATTCTTTAATTGCAAAAAATTATTTTTTAATAACTTATAGGTTTTGGGACACTGTTTTTATGAACACTGTTTTTTACCACCACTTTGGGACAATGTTTTTAAGAACGCTGTTTTTCCCACCATTTATAATAAATGATTATTTTTTATGATATTTATGAACTAATTCATAAATATTTAAACTTGAAAAATAATTTTGAAAAGTTTTCAGTAAAATATGATAGAGTACACGATAACCCACGATATAATTTTTGACATTTTAATTTTAATCTAGATGTATAATAATGACACGCTTATAATTGTTGTTTTTTAGTTTATCACTTCAATATATTTTTTTATTTATTACATCATTCCAATATATTTATTTCATTTCAATATTATCATTTTCGTTGAAACAAAATTTTCTTATTAAAATAAAAACACGTGTTAAAATGTTTATTGTTTGGTTGTTTGTAATGATTGAAAATGTTTCCAAATAAATAGCGCTTGTTGAATATGTTTCCAAAATAAATAGCGGTTAGTGAAAATGTTTCCAAATTAAATAGCGCTTGTTGTCGTTTATGTGGTTGTGCAGTGAAATGATGTAATAAACTTTTCTTTTTTTTTATTTCGTGACCCTATCTATCAATGTTTCAAAATTTATTTTGTAGTTCATAACAAGATTATCAATGTCTAAATTTATAAAATTATAAAGTTTAGACAAAAAACTCATAATGACTCAATGTAGTTAAGTTATTTTTCAAAAAAAAAAAGCTTTTAATCAATCTATTGCCGTAGATAATTCCGTAACATATCTGGTCTACAAGGTAAGCAATTAAATTGTTTAAAAGTAAAACATTTAAGATCTTACAGAGGACAACAAGCAAACATATAAAATAAAATTAGGATAAAAACATATAAGATAAAATTAGGATAAAAAATTGTAAAACATATCTATTTACCGTAATATTTTTAAACGGTAAAATATTGCAATAACCAGATATATTTTACAATTTTTTACACCAGCAACGGCAGGATTTCTTAAAGATCATAAGGATTTTATCTTAAAGCGCTTTTCAATATATGGTTAAAATTGATTGAAATACAATAACTGTAGTGAAATAATAATACACTTTTATGCAAAAAATTATTTAAAAAGTAATTATAAATTTTTTGCATGAAAGCATATTATCGATTCACTACAGGCATTGTATTTTTATATTTTAATGTTGACTATATATTGTAATGGGCTTCATATATAGTTGACTTTATATTGTAATAAATTTATAGTGCATCTTAAAAGTTGACCATATATTGTAAAGGGCTTCACAAAACAGTCCCACCAAGTTTTGATTTTCCTACCAATCTGACATTTGCTTCATTATACAGTACAAGCCCATTATACGCATGCAATCATTCTCCTGGACTCAATATTGTACTGTAGAGTTTCCAGAACCAATCTTACATTTTTCGAAATCAATCAGAACCAATCAGAACCAATCTTACATTTTTCGAAAATGTGGGATAAGAGCACTTTTTTTACCTTCAATAAAACTTATTATTGCTGATAGCGCTGATTTCCTTTTCACCTCTGAAAACAAATGTTGACTTTAGACATTTTCCTCCAAGCATATTGTAAAAACATTCAATGTTGCTTTTGGTTTTCCTGTAACCTTTCAAGAAATGCGTGCATTTCTTGAACAGTGCGTCATTATTTAAGTCAATAAAAATTAAAAATGCATACATAACAGTGTGATGACCTTTTTACAACCTTGTTTCCCTGTATCAAATTTTAATGAGTTTTTATTATAGATTAGATAAAATCTTTCTAGGTGATTTGATAAAAAAATGACGCAGGAAATGATTTAAAAATTCACTTTTTGCCTAACTTTTGCGGTCCCTTTAAGCATTTATAAAATTAAACACAAGCTTCAGAAACACATATACAGCATTTTGTAGAGTCATCAAACATAAAAGGAAGTCAATTATTTACGATAATCTGATTGGGCAAGATTAATATTGTTAGAAGGTTGTCCTTGTTGCGGCAGGAGTCATCTCAACGTGGTGATAAAAGATGCAAGTAAGATGGCAAAAAAAAATATTGTCGTAAATTTAGCCGCCTAGTTCCTTAATTTCATTTTTACCGTTGCTGAAAACTAATTTCAATTGATCATTATTGCTCATCAAATCGTTCACAAAGAAGTACTTAATGTTTGATGATTTAGTCAATCCATTAAGCTCATCGACCATGACAACGCGAAGAATACAATCATGTACATGGTGTTAGCAACTGATGAATTTGGATTAGTGATAACTTTTCTCTTCAAACATTTGGTACAGCCGAACAACAATGTATGTCTTCTTACCAGAATTTTCACTTGCTGTATCTTCTGCAATTGTTTGAGCTTTTCGGTCTTTTAATTTGAGTGCTACTTAATATTTGAAGCTATCAATGTGTTAAAAATAATAATAATAAAAAACTTTTAACGCTCTGAGAAAGATTAAGTTAATAAAAAGTTACCTTTCTTAGTGTACGGCTGCTTGATAGTCACCGGTGTCTTGTAGCAACAATAATAGTTCATCTCTACTTTGTTAGAAATAAAAATGTAAGAGAAACAATCAAACCAATCAAATCTTATGCACATATATGGAGATATGTAAAAGAAGAGCCTAATTGCAAATGAAATTGCATGAAAATGTTGCTTAATTGGGACAGCAAACCCTTACAAATGGCGGTTAGCAAACGCAAAATATTATCCTAACAGAACTGCTAAAAAAATTGTGTAGTTAATTTATAAATACGCGAGGTTAGAATTATTTTGTTCTATCTACACATTTTTTTGTTTCGAGATAAAACGATTTAAAAAATAAAAACTTTAGGAGACGGCATATAAAAAGATTTTTATTACTTATATTTTCTCCGAAACTTTTTTGATTTTAACTTAGGTTTTAATATAGTAGAAAAACAATATTTTTAGGTACATGACACAATTAATAACTCTTTTTTTTTCAAAAAGTGGAGATAGAACAAAATAAATCTAACCTCGCGAATAGTTGTTGAGTTTTTACTTGGCCTATAGCTTAATACTGAATAATACAGCTATAATACAGCTTAATACTGAACAACTATTTTTAAAGTATGTCTAATTTATATATGTATAATATAAAGTATGTATAATTTATGAGCAATTAGCAATCATTTGCTAACATTAAACGATGAAAATGTTTTTATCATAACTTACTACCTAAAGACTTTATGTATCAAATATGCTAAATATTTGTTAAAATAAAAAATAAAAATAATTATTTTGTTGCAATCTGGTATTCGGTAAGGAATTGTGGAATGGAATAGTGAAAAACGTGGCCGAATAATAACTAATAGTCACCAAATATGATTCCTAAAAAAGATTCCAAACACCTTATCTAGTAATTACTTAGTACCTACAAATAAATTAAATTCTAATGAGTTATTTTCTGATTTATCCTTTGAACAGTTTGAAAAGGTCTACAAATCTCTTTTAAAAAAAACATAGCAGTTAGAGCTGATGAAATTAATGGAAACATAATTATAGAGTGTTAATAACAGTTAAAAGTTATTCTTTATATAGTTTTTATAGCATCAATTTTTGAATTTTTGACAGAACTTATATTAGTAATTACAGCCCTACCTCCGTCATTTCTACATTCTTAAAAATTTTAGAAAAAATTATGTATGATAGACAAAAGGCGTCCCGAGGGAGCGTATGGGGGTGTCTAACATCCAAAATTGGATCTATAGTTGTGGTTTCTCCATGAAAGATTTTCATCCACAATAATACCTAAAAAATTTAGTATAAGTTACTCTTTTTATATCAATTTTATCAACAAAAAGCGGCGGCATTTCACTTGGTATATGCTTTTTATAAGCTGAATGAAAAAGAATCCACTTAGTTTTTTCAATATTAAGTGAAAGCTTATTTGATTAAAACCAGTCAAATATTTTCTTTAGTTCTACATTCCTGTCATTAAATAAGCTTTTGATCTCATTTCGGGATAAGAAAAGATTAGTATCGTCAGCATACATTATTGTAATTAAATTAGAAGTTTTATAGAGGTCATTAATATAAATTAGAAATAACATTGGTCCAAGTATGGAACCCTGGGGGACTCCACAGGATATATCTAAAGCAGTAGTTGTCGAGTGTGTTCTAATTTATTTATGAGAATGCCGTGATCAATAGTATCAAAGGCTTTAGATAGGTCTATAAAAATACCTAAAGTAAATTGTAACTTTTCGAAGGAGTCAGTAATAATTCTTGTGAGTTGAAGTACTGCGTGTTATATATTTGTTAGAAATATCCTTAGTGTTCAGCAAGGTTCTATTCTAGAGCCACTTTCGTTCTTGTTTACGCAAATGACTTTTATAAAGCCTCAAACTTTTTAAGTTTCATGTTTGCAGATGATACCATTTGTTTCTCTCTAGTAATAATATAAAGTCTTTTTGACTATTAATGATAAACTGCAAAAAGTATAAAATTGGTTCAAATGTAAGAAATTAACCCTAAATATAAACAAAATAAAATGAATTCTCTTTCATTCCCTCTGCAAAAAACGTTTCTTACCAACAAAAATGCCGCAAAATTTTATTGATCAATTTGAAATAAAAAGAGATTTAATATTTATAAAATATTTAGGTGTTATTTTTGACGAGAACATTACATGGAAACAACGTACTAATTATATTTGCACTAAAGAGTCTAAAGGTATTGGAATCTTATGCAAGGTCAGAATATATTTAAATAAAAAAAAGTTTAACACATCATTATACTCATTTGTTCACATTTATATAAGTTATGCCTTGGGTAATACAGAGTAAGATAAATGTCTTTACCGCCTTAAGAAACACACTACGCGTTTAACCATTTTTGCAGATCAATTCTCA